TGGACAGAATATCCTGTCTGCTTCTTGTACTATGGATAACCACTAAGAAGATAACAATATACAGTATATTGATTATCAAACTGTCCTATTAATCAGCTGTGAAACTGTCCATTCATATTTATTTCTCAATAAAAATTAAATAAATAAATAAAAAGGAAGTCTTGTGCAGTATCGATGGGAGAAATTTTTATGCCCCTATCTTGTACCCTAAGCAACTACTTTAAGGATAACATGTAGTGTGCTATTGTTATCTGCCTATTGTGTTGTTATGAAATTTTTTATCTTTTTTCCATAAAATAAAAATAATGCTATCACTGTTCTTTTAGTGGACTTTTTCCATCAGTTATCCAGGATTTGCTTAGTTGTAATTTTGGTTCCTGGCAGAATCTTATTTTAGCCCACAGAGCATCTCTTTTATTTATTTTTTATTAGTTTCTTTTTAATAACAGAGACAAACATACATTTAACAAGAAATGTACTTGTTAAACTCAATTACCTGTGTGGTTCTACCCAGTCTGTCTCTCTTCCGCCATCCCAAAGATAATGAGTATCTAGAATCTTATCTGGATCCTGCCTTTTGTTTTTTATTTCTGTTTCTTTTTTCATTTAATGCATTCCAAAATGCGTATTTTTAGTTGTAGCTTTTAACTCAGTTTTTTAAAAAGTTCATTGTGTCTGATTCTCCATATTATTGCATTGCTGTACTGTATCCGTTTCACTGTTACATAAAATACCATTATTCTTTGTCTGTCCTTCTTTGAAAATTATTTGGATTCTTTGCTATCATGGACAGTTTCAGTGAACATTAGTGATCATGACATATGCTGCTCGTGTCACATGTTGTTAATTTGTAAGCGCTTATACAGTAATTCTTGAGGCAGAAATGTCCATCATAGGGTATATGAGAATGTTCAGCTTTCCAAAATAATGGCCAAGTGCAACAGAACATACTCTTCTAGTAAAGATATCTTATGTATCTCTATCCTCTCTGACATTTGGCATTGTGAGACATTTTTATCTGTATTATTTAATGAATGGGAAATTGTCTCACTGTGGACCTAACTTGCATTTCCCTAAATACTAATAAGGATAAGCAGGTTTTCTCTTACCTGAGTACCTTCTCATGCCTTTTACCCGCCCTTCCATTATGATACTTGTCCTTTAGATGAGTTATTTTTTGTTTCAAAACTTTGTTTTCTGTACTACCAACTTGTTTTGAACTATCTCATTGCTACTTCTTTCTCAATAAAATTATTAAAATATTTTTGAAAACTTTGATTTTATTTGTATGCACTTTTATGTATATTAGAACAAATTTCTATTAAACAGAGATGGGACAATACCAGATAACTTTAGAATGAACATAGAATGAGAGTAAATCACAGTAATTATTACACAAACAACTATGTAATTTCTGAACTTATTTGCATAATTACCACTGTATACTACTCTATAAAACATGTGCTTAGAACTGTTTCTTAAAAAAAAAAGAAAAAGAAGAAGAAGAAGAACTAAGTTTCTTAGGACTCGTCTAGAAACAAGCAGCTTTATTCACAGTTGTGTAGTAATTCAGATCCCATCTATAATATATTTTTAATAAACTCTTCTATTTTTTGTTGTTGTTGTTTTGTTTGTTGTGGTATTGGAGTTGGCACCAGGAATCAAATTCAGGACCTCGTACTCACCAAGCAGGCTTTGTGCTGCTGAGCTATATCCTCAACTTGTTTGTGTTATTTTTATGCAAATATTCTCACCAAATTTATAGCATTGGTTTGTTTTCTTTGATGAACAAAAACGTTCTTAATTTTAATATAGTCAAATTTATTGACCTCATGTTTTTTACTTATTGTCTTATTTTTAAACTCTTTTATTCCCAGAAAGATATTTACCTCCGTTTTATTAAACTTAAAAGCTTTGTTTTTGATATTTAAGCCTTTACCCCAGGTGGATTACATATACGGTGTGAGGCAAGAATCTAATTTCATATTTTTCATCCAGTTAATGAGTCTTGCCAAATCCCTTATCTACCCTTTCTGGTCCCCAGTGATATTCTACACTCTGGTGATACATACCCAAATAGATATAGATATAGATATAGATATAGGTATAGATATGGTCTGACTGAGATAGAGAGAAATTAAATAAGGAAAGGTAAAGCAAGGTAAGGCAAGATAGGATAACATAGGATATTACTTGGTATAAATTTGCTTGGAATCAGATTACAAAAATAAATTAGGACAGGCCAGGGAGATAGCTCAGTAGAATAAGTGCCCACCTGGCAAGCACAAGATCCTGAGTTCAATTCCCAGTACCACAAAATAAATAAATAAGTAAATCAAGCTAAGAAAAGCTAGAAAGTAAAAAAATTTTTTAAAAATCAGATTAGTTTAGGAATAATTGACATTTCATATTAATTAGTTCTGATTATTCTATAATCTTATGATAACTTTTCAGTTAAGGAAATTTATACCTCTACTTATTATGTGTTCTTTATTTAGTTTCTTTAGGAGTAATAAGGTTCTTCAGGAGTTTTTTGTTTTGTTTTGTTTTACTTGAATAATAATGGGACTTTGTTTTTTTCATTTGTTCTTGCATGAATTTTATTATTTTCTAGAATTTTTCTTTCTACATTTTCATTTGTGTTTTTATAACATTGTTCACAGTATTTTCTTGTCATCTACTTAGATCTGTAGGGCTAGTAGTGATGCCTCCTTTGTTTTCTGAAATTGGTTATTTGTATTGTCTTCTTGTGCTTTTGATCAATCTTACCAAAAGTTTTTAAATCTTTTCAGACAATTTTACAGGCCCTCCCTGGTTTAAATTTGTTTCCTATTTTATTAATATTTATTCCTATCTTCATGATTCCCTTTCTCCTTCCTTCTTTGGAGCCCACCTCACTCATGCTTATTAAGTCCTAATGTTCTCAGACATTTCTTCTTAGCCAGTTTCTTCCTTTTCATTCTGTGAGTCATTGTAAATTTGCTTAATCAGTTATTCCGGAACTTGAGTTTGTGGGTTGATGCTAATTTGTGTGGGTAGAGTTCTGAGTTGTCCCCCCATCACTCTAGCGGGGCAAACGGCTGGCTCAGCATCACTGAGGCCACAGCTGTCTGTGTTACAGGTGATCGAGACAGATCCGGAGCCTGTGCATTCAGTAGTAGAAGAAAACTACCGAGAACTGCGGATTCAGATCAGTGCCAATGTGGATTTTGCTTCATACCAGTGCCAAAAGAACGACGTGTGCTTTAAGGAAACACTGGTTTACCAGACTCGAGTGTTTGAGTGAGTTATAAAACAATCCTCGCATGCCTAAAAAAGTTATTTCCTTTCTTCATCCTCTCATTCATCACACATTTATTCAGTCCCTATAACAGCTTGTTAACTGGTATAGCCGTGATCATATTGGGGTAGCAATCGCCAGACTGTCATTTATGTTCCAATAAAACATTCAGATCTACAGAGCTACTGAAGTTCACATTTGAAATCAAGCTCATAATAAGCCTCCTGTTTTAGCTTCTCCAGTGCTGGGATTACAGGTGTGAGCCACCACGCCCAGACTCAGTCTCTGGCGTTGCATGCGGGACCTGCGCTTGCCAAAGCAGGTGCTCAGTCCACTAGGCTATCTTGCCAGCCCTTCCATGTTTTTATTTTTTTTTCATATTCATTATTTATTTTTATTTTTATTTTTTTTCAAAGTTTTATTGACAAACAGATAGCAATGAGACAGTTTCAAATCAAATCGGAATGACAGTTTCAACAAATAATACACTGCATATATTCTTCTTAGTG